GTAGTACTGTGTGCTATCATTGTTCTCTTCCTGTTATACGAATTACTTTATCTATTTCCTTTCTCTCAACTCGTATGCTTGGCCTTATCTGAAAAATCATTATGTAGCCCCTTGTGTTTCTTTTTCTCTTTATATATGCCTTTAAGGGATTCATATACTCCGAGTCTCTGTAAATCCTCACATTGTGAACCCCTTCTCTGTGTGTTAACTGCATCTCCAGCTGCCTGTTTGACTTTTTCACATAGAAGCTTCAAACAGAATCATGTATAAAGCTAAATTGATAGAATAATATCTTTCTCTAAAATTTGTTCTTTTGATGTCCTTCATTTTTCCAGTCTTATAACTTGAAATCTGGATGTTTCAATTAGCAGCAACAATATCCTCACAGTAATCCTGAAAGATAGGTTGTGTTTTAATATTTTACTTATGAGAAAAACTAAAGTTCAGGGTAATTTCTTACACCACTAAGAAAATGAAGAAGGTTTTATTTAAATATCTGTTTAATTTAAAAAGCCACCCCTCTTCTACATCCATTCAATTGAGAAAAATAACCTGTCATCTTTCCTTGAATTGCTTTTCAGATATTGCTTTTGTTAATCTAATTTTTCTCCATCATTTCAACTGTAGATGCATCTCACTCTCTGCTTTCTCACAGCTTGTTCTCAAGTGAGTAAGCACTACCTCAGAAATGCTCACAAAAGGGCAAATAGTTTTCAGTGTACAAAGGAATTTCCTGACTTCGTGTGTCTCTAGTAATGCTGGCAGTTATATTTTGTTTTTCTTATCTTTTACTTTTCATAAAAAAATTTTCAGACTTTGTTTAAACGTCTAGTTCTTCTTGTGGATAATCAATCAGGTTCTATAATTGTAAGAAAATGAAACTTTAAAAAAAAAGTTTTTATTGTGATTCAGGTAAAGCTTGACAGAAAAAAAACTGGTTTTCCATTCAACAATTTCATACACATTTTGTTTTGTGACATTGATTACAATATCCATGATGTAATAGCACTCTACCCACTTCTTTCTTGTGTTTCCTGTTTCCATTCATCCTTCTTTCCTATTTCCTTCCTGCCTTTTGAGCTTTATCCATGGACAGATGCTTCCCATAATGATCTCATATGGTTGATTGTTCTAAGGAATGTGTACCTTCTTGATTTTACTGCTCACCTTATAGGCCTGTTATTTGGCTGAAAGTTATCTAAGGGCCATGGTCTCAGGGGTTCCACCAGTCTCATCAAATTAATAAGCTCGTTTTCTTTTTATTATTTTGACTTTTGCTATAGTATTTTCTCCTACTCTATCCAGTGCCTCCTATTGTGGTCCCCTTCAGACTGGTTAGCTGTGGTAGCTGTACACCATCTAGTTCTGTTCTCAGGGTCATTGAGGCTGGTGTTCAGATGGTCCATTAGTCCTTTAGACTAATTGTTTCCTTTGTCTCTGATTCTCTTCAATCTTCTTTGTTCTGAGGAGGAGAGACTCATAGTTGTACCTTAGATGGCCGCTCACAAGCTTTTAAGACCACTGTTACTACTCAACAAAAAAGTAGGATGTAGAACATTATCTTTGTGGACTATGTTGTGCCAGTTGACCTTGGTATACCCCAAGACTATAGTCCTGAGCCACCAGCCCCAACAACTCATTCCCTCAAGGTGTTTGGTTATAGCTAAGAAGTTTTCATAACTTTCATGTATGCCCTACTTCATTCATAGATATGTAGCACATTTAAGAATGCATATGTAGAAATAGCCTCTGTCACACCTATATATACTTGTGGATATCGTCCCATTTGCCTTCCCACCCCTGTTTAGCTTGAGTATCTGTCTGTAGATACTCTTGAAGATTATTGATATTACTGTTATTGCAGAATTGGGTATGTAATAGTATTTACCTTTATTGCCTTTAATTCTTGTTTTTCTTCCAGTGTCATCCTTTGTCTGGATCATTTTGTGCTGATCTCTTCTTATGGTATATTGGCTTTCCCTTCACCCAAGTTAATGTGGGTCTACCCTCTAGTTAGTCATTTACCCTCCCTTTCTCTCCCTTGTCTGGTAACCTTCAAAGGTTACAGAATTCTATATATAAACCTTTTCTTGACTTTATAGTAGTGTTTTTTTTGTTGTTGTTGTTTGCCATCAAGTCGGCCCCGACTCATAGCGTCCCCTCCTTGGGTTTCTGAGGCAGTATCACTACGGAAGTAGGATTGCCCAACCTTCTTTCCGAGGAGTGGCTGGTGGGTTTGAACCGCCAGCCTTCTGGTGAGCAGTCAAGTGCCTTAGGCACTATGCTACATATTTGTCCCTTGTGATTGACTAATTTCATTCATTGTAATGTCCTCTAAATTCATCCATGTTTTGAGGTGTTTCGCAGATTCATTGTTATTCTTTAACATTGTGTAGTATCTCATTGTGTGTATGTCCCGTAGTAAGTTTGTTTATCTCTTCATACATTGATGGGCACAGATGTTTCCATCTTTTTTGCTATTGTGTGAATAGTGTTGTGATGAACATAAGTTCACATAAGTGCACATGTCTGTTTGTGTCTCAGCTCTTATTTTTCTAGAGTATATGTCTAGTACTGAATTTGCTGGATCATACGGTATTTCTATTTCCAACTTCTTAAGGATGCTCCATTCTGCTTTCCACAGTGGTGGTCCATTTTAAAGTCCTACCAGCAGTGTATGAAGGTTCCAGTCTCTCCACACCCTCACTATCATTTGTTATTTTTCTGTGTTTTTTGAACTTTGCTATTAATGCTGGAGGTGCTGAATTGTTTTGATTTGCATCTCTCTAATGGCTCGCTGTGAGTTGGGTCTGACTCAAAGGCATATAACAACAACAACAATGGCTAATAATCATGAGCATGAAAATGAAACAACTTTTGCTGGCTGAAATAAACAGACCTAAAAAACAAGGGGTGGGGTAGGGTCAGGTACGGATATTAGATAGCTTACAAATGCTGGAAAGCTGCAGAATCAAACTTGGAAAATAGGCAAGAACAAGAAAGGCTCAGCTGCTTCCAGAACTGCAGCCATAGTCATGTGTGATGCCAGACATCACTTACCAGCACTGGACACACAGCATCCTCCTAGCAGTGCTACAGCCTCAGCACACTAGGTTTTGCTGCCTGTGTCACTGGCAAGAAATTTATTTTCTGGGGACTGTGCTTCTTCATATTATATGTTCTTGATTCAGAATTCAGAGTGGGTGTCTCTGGAACTTAGGCCATATGCTATCTGGTTAGCTGCAAGAGAAGCTGAGAAAATGAGTATCTGGAGTATCTTTTGGAAACTTCCCAGAAGGCTCATAAAGTGGGAGAATTCCTTAAACTTGGAAGATGATTCAGGATAGATACCCAAAAATGGGCACATGTGCACTGTATCCTTTCCTTCTTTATTTGCAGCAGATGAATTTACATTTTTTTTTCAGAGACAATAAAAGTCATCACATAGGAATAACTATCTTGTAAATAGCAGTTACACAAATCTGTATCCATGCTAGACTTCTTCCTTTCTTCCACCATTTTGTTGTGTTTGCCATTGAGTCAGATAAACTCATAGCGACCCCTCCTTGGGTTTCTGAGGCAGCATCACTATGGAAGTAGATTGGCTGACCTTCCTTCCAAAGAGTGGTTAGCAGTCAAATTTTCTGCTACTTAACAGTAATTGTTCTGCCTGTTCTTGGCTTCTATTCCTTCCTGCATTTTCAAGAATCTTTTGTTTTTAAGTCTTTTTTCTATACTATCTCCTTCTTAATGGTGATTTCCATTGGCTTTTAAACATGCTCAAGTCTTATCCATTTTTATGCATATTTACACAGATCTTCTCATTGATCTCCTTATAATCATGCTGTCTTTATCTACCATTTCATAGCCAGACTTCCTTTAAGAGGTATCTATATTACATAGTTTTGTTTTTCACATCCTCTCCAACCCACTCTTTCCATCTATTGCAAATCAGCTTTCACAGAGAAGACATTCATTAAATATTTGCTAAATAAATAAATAATCGCTTTATACTTGAGTTTCTGAATTGACCTTCCTGCCTGTTATCTCCTGTATAATCTGTCATCCATCAGTTTATTATAGGCAATCTTGGATTACAAACAAGTTCTGTTCCCAAGTCTTTAAGATGAATTTGTATCTAACTTAGAATTTAATTTCTAACATTCATATCTAACACTAGTCAATCAAGTGTTTATCTTAGTATATAGTATACCTTTTTGCATAAAAATAATTAAAGAAATACTTCTAGATGCACTAAAACATCTTTAACATAATAACAGTAATAATAATAATATTTTGATACACATTGCAAGTAGCAGTCATCTGTTATTACAAACTATTGTAATTGTATTACCTCTAATTTTTAATATAATAGCCTTTATGGGGTTGGTTTGTAACTATGGGTTGTACATATTGGATGGTTGTAACCTAGGAATTCCCTGTATCCTGAAAATAATGTGTTATTCCTATTTAGATTTCTAAATTCTGATTTAAAACTCTTACATAGTTTTCAACATGACTTTTTAAAAGTTTTCTACAGTATGATCCCATTCAGCCTGTGAGTGTTATTTCTATCATCCCCCTGCCAAGCTGGTCTTCTCACCTTTTGCTGCCATTCCATTCCATTTACCTTTGTGTCTTTGTTCACTTTATATTAATCTTGCACCTGTAATCCTCTTCTCTCTCAATCCTACTCCTCTGTGCTGCCTTCTCTAGGCAAATCTTTCCCGTCGTGAGGTAGTCATGTCCTTGACTCTACCACTCAACTTTGTGGTTAAATTATCTAGTACCTTGTATTATTGTTGTGTGCATTAGCATTTGACTTTGGGAAATTACTTTTGTTTTTTTTTTAATCTTTGAATCCTGTACCTGCAACCAAGGCTGCTTGAGGGAAGCAACTGCCTGCCTTCCTGTGCTCCTCCAGTGTTCAGCAAGGACCTTGCCTAGGCTTATAAGTCTGGGATGGATATTTGTTTATATTTAGTTATTTATTCTTTCAGGGAGAAGAAAAATTTAAAACAAGCATTTGTACATTTTTGTCAGTTTTGTCACATTTGGACATCATTATCCAAAATATTCCAGAAAAGGTGAGTATAAATTGTTTTTAGAAAGAAGAGTTTAAAACTTGATTTTCAGAAATTGCATTTTATGTTTGTACTATTTTTTTAAAAAGTGTATTCTTTGTCTTTTTTACAATTTCTCCCCTTCCCTTTATTTCCCCCCTAATGTATACACATACTTAGACAAAAATACACGGTGAGGTATACAAGAGTACGTATTAAATTGATAGACAAATTAATGAGTATTTTCTATGGATATGAAATAATTCTAATTTAATAAAAGTATTTACTTGTAATTCTTTAAATGGGACTTTCCTTTTTATATATACCTGTTCCTTGACTAACTGGTAGTTATTTAATAAATTTAAGGTCCATATATTAAAAGGTATCGGGTAATTGAAGGTTGATATAAAATGACTGTCATTACTTGGTATGTGAATCACAGATTTTTTATCTTTCTCAAATTTAGAGAAATTTCCTTAGTGGTTTACCACATAGATAAGCAGAAATCCTAACTAATTCTGGTCAATAACTAGGGCCACTGTAAAGAATTTAGGTAGTGCCTAAGCCACTTGACTGCCAACCAGAAGGCTGACGGTTCAAACCCACCAGCCACTCCTCGGAAGGAAGATGGGGCAATCTACTTCTGTAGTGATGCTGTCTCGGAAACCCAAGGAGGGGTCACTGTGAGTTGGGTATGACTTGATGGTACGTAACAACAACAGCAAAGAATTTAGGAGAACCTTCCAGTAAGATTTAGAGGAAAATTCTATATTATTCAGTCTGTGTAGAAGAATGTACTCTATGCTGTAGACTGTTGGAGAAAACTTACTAATAAGAAGTGTTGTTAAGTGTTGACAGTGACATGTAGGAGAGAAGGGTTTCCTAGAATTTTTCAGTACTCTAGTCTTTAAACAGTGGTAACAATCAAACTTAATTGTTAATCTGTTTCATCAATTCTTAGACAGACTTCCTCTCGTCCCACATTGTAACTGCTAAAATCACGGTATATCTTAAAGGTGATGGTGCTTACAGTGTCTGCCAGCCACATGGCAGTTGTGTCCTAGTTACATGAAAACTTCTCTTGACACTTTCTGGTAAAATCAAGAAAGGTCTAACATTAGAGTGTATTTGATTCAATGAAGTATAACCGAAAAAAACCAAAGTCACTGCCATCGAGTCGATCTCGACTCATAGCAACCCTCCTTGGGTTTCCAAGTCAGTATCTCTATGCAAGTAGATTGCCCAGTCTTCCTTCTGAGAAGTGGCTGGTGGGTTTGAACTGCCAACCTTCTGGTTAGCAGTCAAATGCCTTAGGCACTATGCCACCAGAGCTCTGTTTTAAATACATTCAGGAAAAAGGATTTGTTTACCATCTATTGAGAAAGGTAAAATAGACGAGAAACTAATATTATAGTTTTGATGAAATAGCTAAAAATATGGTCAAATTCTGAACATGAATTCATTTTAGAAGATAATTCATGTTAGATCTGGTATAAAAAACTTTATTTTTATATTAAGCTTTTTTTGGTATGTGCTGAATTACATGTTTCAGGGTCCCCTTCCCCCAAAGCATCCAAAAAAAAAAAATGCTGATAAGTAAAATAGAATAATTACAATTTGTACATTTTCTGGGGAAAAAAAAACTAAACTGAGATACCTAACACCAAAACAATTTACTTGGTCAATCTTCCAGTTTCTAATTTGTAAAGTCCATTGTTACTTAAATAAATGTGCTTTTATTTGAAAGACGTCTTGGAAATAATCAATTAGGACTTCGCATTTTCATCAAAATGTGTTACTTAGCCTATGTGAAATCTGTACTAAGTAATGAGGTAGCGTATAGAAGTCAAAGCACTAAATGTTCTAGAAAAGCTAAACAGAAAAACTTTTCTTAACAATGGTCATATTCTTACATTGTTCTAACAGCTTTTCAGTGGAATATAAATCTGTCAGCAAATACAATAAGGAAAGCATTCTTACCATTCAGCAAAACTTTTTAGACTGATAAAAGTAGAAGCATTTTTCAAGGCCAAAAAAGTGTTAAATCCTCACCCTAGCCAGATGAGTAATCACTGACAATACCAATGTATTTGAGTATAGAATCCATGGGAGAATTGTACTCATTATTGAGAATTAAGTATTTTTATTTTACATAAATAGTAATGTATACCCAGCTTCCAGATCTTGGTTTCTTAACCATTCTCCAACAAAAGTAACCGGGGCTCCTTAAATAAGTGGCTGATTCTATGACTGGGGTAGGAAATACACAAGATGAACCTGGAGCATTTTGTAGTGCCAAAAAGGAAAGATGTATTTAAAAAAAAAAAAAAAAAAAGTGATGATGGTGTGTTAAAGGGACACAGGAGCCAACTGAAAGAGTCAGAGCTGAAACAGATTGAGCAAAAAAATAAAGAATAGCTTATTCCAAAGAAAGGTGATCAAACTGAGTATGGAAATTATCAATCAGTGTCATTAATATCACATGCTAGCAAAATTTTGCTGAAGATAATTGAAAAATGACTGCAGCCATAGAGAACTGCCAGAAGTTCAAGCTGGATTAAGAAGAGGACACGGAATGAGTGATAGCATTGTTGATGTCAGATGGATCTTACCCCAAAACAGAAAATACCAGAAAGACATTTACCTGTGTTTATCGATCATGCAGAAGGCATTTGACTGTGTGGATTATAGCAAATTATGGATAACATTGCAAAAAATGGGCATTCCAGAATAATTAATTGTGCTTATGCAGAACCATGGATCAAGAGACAATTCCAACAGAACAAAGGGATATTGCATGGTTCAGAATTAGAAAAGATGTACAGCAGGGTTGTATCCTTTTACCTTCCTTACTCAATCTGTATCTGAATAAATAATCCCAGAAGCTGGACTATATGAAGAATGCAGCATCAGGATTGGAGGAAGACTGATTAACAACTTGCACTATGCAAATGATACAACCTTGCTTGCCAGATGTAAAGATGACTTGAAATACTTACTTACAGATAAATGTCAGAGACCTTTAGTATGGATTACACAGGAACAAGAAGAAAACAAAAATACACTCTGGATTGATAAACAACATGATAAATGAAGTTGAAGTTGCCCATGATTTCATTGTACTTGAATCAACAATCAGTGTCCAAGGAAGCAGCAGTTGGGAAATCAAATGATGTATTGCATTGGGTAGATCCTGCAAAAGACCTCTTAAAAGTTTTAAAAAGAAAAGATGTCACTTTGACTTTAAGATTTGTGTGACATAACCCATGAATTTTTCAGTCAATCCATATACATGTAAAAGCCAGACAATGAAAAAAGAAAAATTGATAACATTCATGTTGTGATATTTCTGAAGTATAGTGAATAAACTGTGGATCACAGGAAGAATGAATAAATCAGTCTTAGAAGAAATGCATCCAGAATGCTCCTTAGAAGTGAGGATGGCAAGACTTTGGCTTGCTTACTTTGGACACATCATCAGGAAAAAACAATTGCTAGAAAAGGACATCATGTTTGATAAACTAGAGGGTCAGTGAAAATGAGGGAAACCCTCAATGAGAGAGTGATTGACACAAATAATAGCTTGAACAATAGACTCTAATATACCAGTGATCATGAAGATGGCACAAGACTGGGCAACGGATGTTTGTTTCTTTTATATATAGAGTCCCCATGAGTTGGAGTCCACTTGATTATGACTAACAACAATAGAATTAAAACACAGAGTATAAAATAACCATGAATCCATATTGATATAAATAAAGGATTGAAAAATAAATGAATGGGGGAGGAAGAAGACAAGTCTTCTCTGCAGAAGAATTCAAAATAATTTATGTAGATAACTTGCAGAGTGTGGAATCATCTTGCTGAAAGCAGTTTGGCTTTTATTCTCAGTTCTTTCAGCCAGACCACACCTGGGGTTTGGATGTTGACTAAGCTTTAGGAAGCATGGTGTAATCTACCATAGCCATGTGGGGAGGCTATTAAGAGCTGTGATCCCTGGGTCCATTTCTGCCTCACTGGTCTGATTCTGTTTCTTCAGCAAAAATCTAACACATTGAAATTCAGATTTTTTTTTTTTAAGTGGTTGTCATACAAAAAGTGGTTGTAGGGTAGGGGAACATTTTGGAGGTAAGTGAAAGTGCTTATAAAAGGGCAACAGGAGGAATTCATGGGTGTTGGAACTGTTCAGTACTTGACTGTGATGATGGATGTAAGAAGTTATGCAAGTGACAAAATTGTATAGAACATAATACACATACATACAGTGAGTACAATAAAACCAAGAGAAATCTGAGTAAGACCATTGTATTTATATCAGTGTCATTGTGCTGGTTGTTCCCATTGGGGGAAACTAGGTAAAGTGTACAAGGGATTTTTGTATTCTTTTTTTTTCTTTTGTTAAATAGTATTGTGTTTTTGGTGAAACTTAGCAAATTAGGTTCCCATTTGACAATTTCTTTACAAATTGTTCAGTGACATTAGTTACATCTTTCACAATATAACTCTTTAATTGTGTTCTGGTTGTTCCATTTCCAATACTCTAGTTTCCCTGCCCCCTTGTCTTCTCATCTTTGCTTTAGAGTAATTGTTGACCTTTTTGTCTCATATAATGGCTTTTAGTAGAAGACTATACTTAACGGGTTATGTCCTTTATTTTGTTTGCCATTCTGTTATTTCACTAAAAGGTGATCTTGTTATAGTTTTGGTTCAAGAGTATCTCAGGGTGATAGTCTTAGGGATTCCGCTGGTTTCAACTGGTCCAACAAGTCTGGACTTATAAAGAATTTGACATCTGTTCTGTGTTTTTCTCACCTTATATTAGGGTTTATCTATTGTGGCTCTAATCAGAATGATTGGTAATAGTAGCTGGGCACCATCTAGTTCTGGTTTCAGGATAGGTGAGGCTGTGGTTCGTGTAGCCTATTATATTAGCCCTGGAACTTGTTTCTTCTCTGAGAATTCATGTTCCTCCTTACACTTTTGCTCTGGATGAGTAGAGACCAAAAGTTGTATCTTAGATGGCTACTCATCAACTTTTAAGAGCCCAAACTTGGCTCACTTCAGTGGGATGCAGAACATGAACTTGTGAACTATATTATGCCAGGTGATTGAGTTGTCCCATGAGACTAAAGTCTTAAACCTTCAAACTTAGAAAACAACCTCACTAGGTGTTTGATTATGTCTGAAAAGTATCTGTAATTGTATCTTCTGAATATGTGTGCCTGCACATACATACCTTCCTTATGTATGCATAGAGATACTTTTGTCTATGCATACACATATATATATACTTGTACCTATCAGTACACATATGTGCCTAAATACATACATATGTAACCATATACTCTTTTCTCAGTCATTGTTGGTGTTGCTCTGTATTATTTCTTAAAACCACATGTGAATATATAATGATCTCAATAAAAATTTCAATTAAAAAAAGAAAATGCAGTGGCCCACAAGTTTGAGTAATTGAAGCCATGGGAATGAGTGAGATCACCCACAGAGACTATGCAGCCTAAGAAAGTAAGGAAGCCAAGGACAGACCCATAGGAACAAGAGAAATAACAACACTTAAGGATCAGAAGAGGAAGAAGAGCTAACAAAGAAAATTGAGAAGGAAGAGCAGGAGTGCTAGGAGGATAGCCATAAGAATGTGATGTTCTAAAAGTCATAGGGAGAGCTTTTCAAGGAGAGAAAGGCCAAGGAACATAGGGCTTGCACATGTTCATAGGATTTAGTAACAAGGAGGCTGTATATGTGACTTTGGTGAGTTTCTCTGCAGTGAAGTGGTAGAAGTTAGAATGCAGTGAGAAGGGAAAGGAAGTGGAGATAGCAAGTATTGCTATATCCTTATAGAAATTTGACCTTGAGTCAGGGTGTGGGCAGGAGATGCTGGAGGTTGTAGAATTGAGGAAGGTAATTTTGTTCTTGAACATGTTTACAGACTGATAGGAAAGAACTTACAGAGGTGAAAGACTGCTGATGAAAATGAAAGAGTAAGAGAGTCAAGATGCATGAGAAAAAGAGGTAGAGTACTTACAGATAGATACAGTTGTGGTCACAAGTTTGGATATTGGATTTTAAGATTTTAGAAAAAGAACAGTCATAGGTTATGACAAGGCCTAGGATATGGCTGTGGGCATGGGTGCTTCAAGGGAAGTGGTTGTTGACATTGAGGATTAGAGAGAGAGGGAGTAGGGAGAGGAAAATAGAGCCAGGTACTAGAGTCTTCAATGAGTAGAGAGCCTAACCACATAGACAACTGTGATTAAGAATAGAAATTAGAATGGTAGATAGTGATTTTTTATAAGATAGTAGAGAAGTAATGGTCTGGAAGTCACATTGAGGATTGAAAAGGATGCAGACCCTCTCTTCTGCATTGAATGTAGAAAAGAGAAGTTAAGGAAATTAGCATAGTTTGGAAGGGAGGGGAGAGCAGTGTGAAGTTAGATCGGAGGAGAGGAAGCATGTATTCTTTTGGGATAAGACTGTAAGAGCAGAGATAAACAGTAGAAGGTTTATGTTTAGGTGAAGAACAAGTACCATGGAGATGAGATGTGTAGTGAATTTAGTTGGCCACAAGTCCCATGTTGGATGTGGTATTTTGAAAGAAGTTATTTTGATTTGTTTTCCCTCCATCCTCTTCTCCCTCCCTGCTTTCTTTCTCCACCTCCCTCACACTAATATTTACCTGGTGTCTTATGTGCCAGAAGTTATTCTAAGCCCTAAGGATTTGGCAATGAACACAACAGTCTCTACTCTCATGGAGCTTATATCCTAGTGTGAGAGAGAGAATGAACAAACACTGTACCATAAGGCAGTGGCAGATGCTTTGAAGGAAAATAAAGCAGAATAAGGGGATAAAGATAGGTGCTTGGAGCTGGTAGGCTTCTAATGGTGTTTTGATTGTCTTGTTTAACTTGCCTGGTTTTCACCTTCTGGAATAGAATTAATTGCTTATTCATGTGTCATTCAGTAGTTATCCATTTCCTGTTCTATCCCTAACATGTCTCTCTGTCTTTGATTTCCCTTCTAGCCATGCAAATCTATTTTCTCTTCTCTACAACTCGACGGCACATAACAACAACAACAACAACACATCATTTGATGATTTTCTTAGTATGCATCCAGTATATTTCTGATCATTCTCTGTCCCTCTTTTTAAAGAGGTTTTCTTTCCATTTTGCCTTTTAGACTGATGCTTTCTGACTGGTAATTCCAGTTTACACTCTGGTGCAAAGGCCAGTAAGCACTTGAAAGGTTAGCAGATGGAATCCATTCAGAGGTGCCTTGAAAAACAGTCCTGATGATCTGATTCACAAAAGTCACAGCCTGGAAAACCCTATGGAGCAGTTCTACTCTGCACATATGGGGTCACCATGACTTAGATTTGACAGCAACTAACCCAAGCATCAAAGAATTGAGGGGTGAAGATGTATTGAAGCACTAAAAAATGAAAACAAAAGAGCTGGGAATGAGTGTTTTGTTTTGTTTTTTCTTTCTTTCCCTTGAGAAAATTGCTCATGTCAGTGTATTTGCTCTGTCCAGGAAGGAAAAATAAAAAGCCCCACCAGCACAACGCTAGTGAAATAAGTCCTATGTAGCACTTTCATCATTTGTATACTGTTTTTCTCAGTCAAGGATGAAATGGCCCATGTTTCCATTTAAAGAATTTTTCTCTTTCTTTTCAGAAATTTACCCTGAAGCAAGCCCTTATTATTGTATTGCAGTGGTGTTTTAATCACAACTTCAGTATTCGACTCTATGCTTTACTTGCTCTTAAGAAAATCTGGAACATGTGTAAAACATCATATGTCAAAGAATTTGTTGTGTTGTCTTCTGTGATTGAATCTAGTCTTAATCAAGTGGAAAACATGCATGGAACAGGGTAAGTGAAACATGTAACTTATCCCTTTACTTCCAGTAGAATCCACAGAGACATTATTGTAGGCATCTTGGTCCTGCTATCTTTTCATTCCATCATGCTTGAGCACATAAGATCCCTGTTGTTGTTGTTGTTATGTGCCGTCGAGTTGGACCCGACTCATAACAACCCCTCCTTGGGTTTTCGAGGCAGTATCACTATGGAAGTAGATTGCCCCATCTTTCTTCCGAGGAGTGGCTGGTGGATTTGAACCTCCAGCCTTCTGGTTAGCAGTTAAGTGCCTTAGGCACTGTGCTACCAGAGCTCCCATAAGATCCCTAGGTGGCACAAATAATTTGCTCTCGGCTACTAATCCAAAAATTGGTGGTGTGAACCTACCAGCATCACCTTGGAAGAAAGGGTTGGCAGTCTGCTTCCATAAAGAGTACAGCCAAGACCCTATGGAACAGTTCTACTCTTTAACACATGGGTTTGCCTTGAGTTAGAATTAACGGCAGCAGGTTTGAGTTTAGTTTTAAGCACATACAGCTTATTTATATAAGGCAAATTCTAATGTCTGTTTGATGTCCAGTGTTTTATATCCAATTTACTTACAATTTTAATTATTGTTAGCTCCATCTTGAAATTTCATTGCTTTTTTTTTACCCTCAATCCTTTATATTATAAATCATCTTTTACATATTTTAGATGTTTCTCTTCAGTGGAGCCAAATACTATCATTCTCTGTTGTTAAAGCAGTGCTGAGAATGGGCTGACTTTACTAGTTAAAGTGGACATGCCCATATCCCTGTTATCCTCAGTAGAACTCTTATTTCATAAACAAAACAGATAAAAGGTTGTTGCAGTGGGGGGGGGTATGAATGCATGACCTAGCACTTGGTAAAACTTTGTAGATGATGCTGATATATATCTCTTCCTTTCACCCCTACCCTTGTTGAAAACGACTGCAGAAAAGCAGGGTTCTGTGTCCTAAACATCTCCTAGCATCTGAGTTTATGTCTTCTTCTCTAAGATGGTTATGTTGTCATTTTCACTTTTCAATAAATTATTGTCATTGATTATCGCCACCCAGAAATGCTGAAGTTTTAAAAAACGTCTAAGACCTCGGCAGTATCAATCAGTATAAAAGGCACTCAGTTATATAAACAAACTGATAATGATTGGAAGCAGCATTATTATGAGTATGAAATAATTTTGGAAAACAGTAACATACAGAGTTTTTTGCTTTGAGCTTCAAATCACCACGTGGTGCAAATTAGACTTTTCATGAGTCTTAGCTTTACATGGAGCCAAGGATGAGGGTATTTTTATAACTATTTTATAACTCATCTACTTGCCTTAACTTTTGAGACAGTTGTCCAAAGAGACAATTAAGTGGTTAAGGGAAGTATTAGGGACTCGGGGAAAATAATTTTATGTATTATATACACATACACAAATATATCTATGTGTGTGTGTATATATACATATATATATATATGTATATACATATATATACACGTATATATATGTATATATACGTATACATACATATGTATATGCATACATACAGGGGTAATGGCTGGAAAGAGAAGAAAGTAAGTTGCCAGGGGAGTCAGGTTACTGATGAAGGACAAAAGTACAAAAAAGGGGGTTACTTTCCAGCTATAATCTGGCAACTGGAATTAATCTTTTTCAAGTGATGAAATGCTATTATTTTCTCATGGTTTATGGGTATGTATTATTTATCATTTCTTTTATTTGGTGAATTCTTAGCCAAGTTTATTTACATGAGTAGGTTTGGGCATTAATATTTTTTAGGAGAGCACTGGCATTATGTAGTAAGTGGAATTCAAACTGTAAAAGTTGTTTCTAATTATATTAATATAGTTTCGTGAATTATATCAATATTTTAATAGAATACATTTCTTCTATATGGAATGCTACTTAGGTCTTAGGGTTAGAGATAAGTAACCAGAGATATATACTTAACCAGTAGTCCTTTAGCCCTTCCTTTTGTGGGAGGAAATTGAGGGAATTGACATAATTCCACATGCAGGTAGGGATCTGTTTGTCAGTTGACAGTTTTTTTTTTATCTCTCTAGCATTTAGATGTTTTAATTGGTTGTAGATCATTTTCTAAGTTTCTTGGTAGCTATATTTTGATTTCAAAAACAATTGGCTTAGATTCCATTTTTTACTAATTCTTAAAATACTCTTTAAGAAATAACTTTAATAGAGGATTGCAAAAACGGCAAGGAGGCCACATGTTCTAACTTCCTCTAACCACACAAGAGGAAGACAGGATTACCAGCAGTAACCCAAGGCCTATTCTTGCCAGGCCAGATATGCTGCCTCCCTCCAGCCCTTTCTCCCACTGTTTCCTCCCAAAGCACCCACCACCTCTCTCCTGCGTTCGATAATTCGCTGCAGTGGCCACACAGAGCTCACAGATTATGGGGTTTATTAGGGAAGCACCACAGGCTACAATTCAAGTTCAGGAAAAATGCTCAGTCTCTCTCCCAGCCCACCGTCCCTCAGCCAACAGTCTCTCTCAGTCTCTTTCCCAGCAGTGCTGGTCCCTCGGTGTCTCACTCAGTGATGCGTGTCTGTTGCGTCTCTTTCCCAGCAGCACGTGTGTCTTTCAGGAGCGTGTGTCTCTGTCAGTAGCACGTCTTCCTCAACCAGCAGTCAGAGAGAGTTCTGCCTCTAGGAGGCTGCCTTTTGAGCCCGGCAGGGTGGTCAAACTAGCCAATCATAGCATCAGAACTCTAAGCACCCGAGAGAGAGTGGGCACCTCCCAGAACATTGTTTTGTGCCACTCCCAACAGAAATACTCCAGGTGGACAACTTCAGCAATCAGGAGCTCCTCAGTTGCTCACAGAAAATCCCACCTTGGAGTTTACAAAGACTTATGGGTAGAAAAGCCACACTAAGTAATTTACTACACCGCAAGGATTGAAAATGGAGTCTCGTCAGTAAGCACCACGCTATTTCCCTCCAGCATCTAAGTGCTTGTAAAACTAGGTACTGCAGTTTGAACTAGGGATTTTGGTGCTCTGAACAGCTCACTGAATCAGAGTGCACCAAACACAGAAGAGCAGAATTAGAGGAAAGGCACAGGGAGATTATTTAAGAAAGAGCTACCTGGCGGAGGACGGATGTGCAGCCGAGAGAGGCCATTGGAAACTTCCCTGGGGCAGTCACTGGTGGGTGAGGGCGGCCACCTGAGATCCCCGTGAGCCAAGAAAGAAGACACCCTATATCAGCATACCAGTGACTACTCCAACATCCCAGTGGGCAGCCCAAGGGATCTGCCTCCAGCACCTGATTTCGTTCATAATTTGGGTCACCTGGGTGCAGGCGGGCGCGTGCACCACCTGAGACTCAAGCGGAGAGCTCACTATTGCGCCAGGAGGGTGAGCTCCCTCCCCTCTCAGTGGATCACTGAGTGGGCTTGGGTCAGCCAAGGAGACATCATGCTTATCTTTGTCACGGATATAGGGACCACAGTTTACTAGAAGGTACTCCCCCGACTCCAACACAGCTGAAATGGTGTGCATCTTTGGCACCGCAGGTGGGTGGTATCACAAACTCCAGAGCCATTAGTGGTCTGGCGGGATTGCGCCAGTGCCGCGGGCAGAAGGGGCGGGGAGAGAGAGGAAGCTGCAGCTGAGTGCGGTCCCGGGAATTTGCCTTGGATTGGCTGTTTAGCGCTGAGGGACCTCAGAAGCAGGGTCTTTGAGTGTGCCTGAGCCTGGTGGAAAGTTGTGACTCCCTAACAAGGGGAATCTTTCCTGAGATTGAGCTGTGGTCTTGTAAATAACTACGTCATCAATAATAGCCTGTGCAAAGCCCTAGAAACTGACCCTAGCAACACCAAGCTTTCCTTCTTTTGTTCCCACCTTTTCTGCCAATAACTTCACTCATTCAATAGAAGAAACAATATTCAGCCAATTACCATAAAACCTCCCACTTCGAATTCTAAACCCTCTTTAAGACAAACAGAAACACATATCCACATTCCACCATCACAAAGAAAACAGCAAAGCAACCCAACATACCTGAATCAATAATAAAATACACCACTTTCACCTTTTCAAACTATTAAACCATACAACCAAGACAAAACAATTCAACACATAACCAGCAGCTAGAGACAACCTAAAGAGACAGTGCTCTACCAGATTCCAGGGACTTAGGAAGAGTTTCTGCTTTACAGTAACCCCAGGAACACTACAGACCTGCACGACTGAAAAGGTTCTAGTTTACACGTTTTTTTTATTTTCCCAGTTCCTGATTAAATTTTTTTTTTTTTTTTTTTTAATTGCTGGAGATTT